CGAGTAAGACACAAAATACGAATTCATAAATAGGAGTTTGTTAATAACTTAAGATTATAATCATTTTATATATGACTATCGGTAGACTCAATTAGAATTTCTATACTTAATGGAAATGATTAAAAATTCATATTATGTATATGTCTCAGTCTTACATAATCTCATTATATAAAATACATTCATTTAATATCTCTCTATATTAACGATGCGGATAAGCTCGTTTCATTCTTAATGAAAATGACATGTATTAATAATTTTTTAATTGAAGATTCTTAACTTTAATTAAATTCATTACAGACTAATTTCGATTATTATCCTTAAATATTATCCATCAAATATTATTTGATTTTTTTGATTTCAACTATGCCAAAAAGGTTTAAGATTTTATTCACATAAGTCTTAAAATAATTTTCATGAAAATATTATTAATGTTGGATTTAGTGTTGGGACTTTGGACGGACCGCTCGCGACTGCCCGAAAATACTTAGTTTTTGCCCGAAGCCCGACCCGACCTGCCCGAAAATTTTAGGCCGCCCGCCCGAACTCGAGAAGGCCCGTGAATGGGCTGCGAGCTTGTATTTGACTACCCGAGCCCGGCCGGGCAGCCCTACCCGCTCGAAATGCCTGATTTTTTTTTATATTTTTTAATTTTTATAATTATTAAGTTATTTTGTATTAAAATTATATAAAAACTAAAATAAACATTCAATAGACATTGCTAACACAATTTAATAAATTAAATTTGTATATTAATTTTTAAATTCATAATTCATGATTGCCTCGTTAAAAACGTTACAAAGAAAAACCCAATTGGGATAAAAACTTGCTAAGGAAAAAAGAGTGCAATCATTTTGTGACGAATTATAAATTTTATAAACTTACAAAGTTATACAATTACAATGTCAAAAGTAAATACATAATTACAAATTACAAATTTAAAATTTAATTTGAAGCTAAAGGATCGTCTTTAAAATAAAATGTTAATCTATTAAATTCATCGATTCATTCTTGACTTGCCGGCGAAATTGTATCCTGTAGACGTTGATCAACACGATCCAAATCCTTAATGCAGACCAAGGCTTCAACAATGTCCCTTTGCAATGTATTCTAGCGTTCCTCAAGTATTCGTCCTGTCATACTGAAGGCTTGTTCGGATGAAATAATGAAGACTTGGATCGAAAAGATAATTCCTCAAGTATTCATCCTGTCGTACTGAAGGCTTGTTCGGATGAAATAATGAAGACTTGGATCGAAAAGATATCCATTGTCAATCAAGTTATGATTGGCTAAGTTAATGCCCGTGCCCTCCACCATTGAACTAAGTCAAACAATTCTCTAGTACCGTCGACTACTAAGCTTTCACTGAGGTACGCCATATGCTCGTTGAAGTTGTCACCGACGCTGCCACCTGTTGATGAAGATCCACTCCCAGCTTCTGTTTGAGTTGTCTTCTTCTTCTTATTCAACCCGAAAACATTCAAGAATGAATGCGGGATTTCATCTTGTTGTTGCGGTTCTTATACTCTAGAGTTTGTACTTCTAAACCTATTCTCATATTTACTATAGATCGAATATATTTTTGCCTTTATTATTAGAAATTGGTCCAAACAATTGATGCCTAAAAATTCACCTAAATTTTCTAAACCGTCTAATTTTAATCTATGATCAAAAATAGTGCCTAAACCATATAACAAAGGCAACTTAGACCAATATTTTTAAATTTCCTTTCCATAGAATGGATAGGAACTCCTAAGATTGGGTCCTCCTTATATTCGCTAAATAAAATACTAATGGGATGCTTGGTTGGAGGATTCAAACCATGATTTGAATCATGGTTCATGATTCGCTACAGTATTTTCTCTCATAAAAAATACACGTAAATCAAAAATAGTTCTAATCATATTATTCTAATCCATGAACCAAACGTAGCCTAATTCTTAAAAGTTCACCTAAAGCTAAAGGAGATGTTGGTTACTACCTTAAATCCATGCAAGACTATCTCTAATTCTTTTAATGTGAGTACCCATTTCTTTTAAACCGGAATTAACTATTAAATTAATTACATGACATGCACAACATTAGTGGAAAATAGTACCGTCACCGAATAAACTTAAATCATTTTCAAATAACTCAATTGCTTTTGTATTTGCACTAGCATTATCTAATGTTATAGTCATTACTTTATCTCTTAATCTAAATTCATCAATTACATTGAAAATTGTATTATATATTAAAGTCGCGTTATGTGATCCTAGAACACATTTAAAACCTAATATTCTCTTATCTAAATCAAATTCTTTAAAGTAATGTCTAGTTATAGCTAAATAATCTTTATTGGCAACGGCATACCAAATATATGCCGTTAACGCAACGCACCCGCTAGTCGAGTATAAAAGGTTTATTAATGCTTCTTTTTCTTTTTTAAATAATTTTAATAAATCTTTCCTAAGAGTAGTTTTTGAAGTGAACTGTGCATTAGGATTATGTACAACCTTAATATATCGTTGCCAATTAGGATGCTCTATAAAACTAAGTGGTTAATCTAATGCAGTTATCATTCGCGCAACTTCCATACGATCTACTTGCGGATCGTATTTCCAAGTGGTTAGACCACTGGTTGCTCGATCAAAAAATAATTGTGTTTGATGGAGTTCAGGTCCGCCGGACTGGCTAAGCTTTTGAAGACACTTTTCGGAGTGTCTTCTCAAGTGTGTGGTACTGTGAATAGTGTCATCTTGTGATTTAGATAAACAATATTTACACTGACCTATATGTTTAGTGTTACCTTTATTGTCGATCTCCCTAATTGTGTCGAAGTGATCCCAAACTGTCGAGGTGCGCTTGCATTTTCTCCTGGAGGTTGCAACACTTGCAGACGCAGTCGTACTTGTACTCGCCGCTTCTCCACGCCCACCACTATTGCGATCACGACCTCCAATATGCCCACCAGGGCTCGGATTATTTGATTCTTGCGTAACAAATTCATGAGTGAGAAATTGTCATTCTTCCATGTTGTGTTGGGTATCAACGGGAATACCACTATAACCAAAAGAATCCATTATAAAAAAATAAGAGCGATTTGAGAGAGAGAGCTTTAGGATAATGTGATAGTTTTTAGAAAAATTGTGAGAGAGATTTGAGAGATTGAGAGAGATTAAGAGAAATTGAGAGAGATTGAGAGAAATTGATAGGGATTGAAAGAGTTTGAGTGAGAAAAATGTGCGGGGGATGGGGGTATTTATAGGGAAATTTTTAGGTTAAAAAATTAATTTTTTGCCCCAAATTCGGATCCAATGGCTACTTTTGTTTTCGGCGGGTCGGGTTCGGGCAGAAATTCAGGCACCAATCAAAAAACTAGCTGTTGGGGCCGGGCTTTTCGGGCTTCGGGTTGGGTTGGGCTCCAACGGTTGAAATTTTGTCCGTTGGTCGGGTTTTTAGGCCTCGGGCAAATCGGGCCAGGCCAAAAAAATTCCGGCGGACGGCGACAACACGGCGGCGGGCTCCGGCATGGTGTCCATTTTCGGGTTGTCTGAGCCTGAGCTCAAAAATTTATTGTTGGACAGGTCAGTAGTTGGGTCTGCCTGCCGAGCCTGAAAAATTCAGGCATCGAGCCGGTCCGCCGGCCCAAAGTTCCAATAGTAGTTGAATTTGGATGGAATTTAGAGAGAAAAATAGAAATAAGGAGGGAAATAGAACTAAGATAAAAAAGAAATAGCCCAAGGTAGATAAAAATAGATGAAAGAACTCAAAAGAAAGAAATTAAAAGTCAATACTCATGAGTCATCATACTCTCCGAATTGGAAATACAATCACCAAGTTATTTGTACAAATCTAGAACTAATAAGATAAACTCAACTAAATAATTTAAATATTATAAATAATATTAGAGATAAATAAAAGTATAAATTTAAAATTAAATGCTAACGATAAAATATATCCTAAAAATAATTATAAAATTAAAATCAAAATATAAACTTGAAATTCGTCATCATTTTTGTCCAAGTTAAAGAAAGTCGACTCTAATGAGTTTTAAACTGGTGTCGTGAAGAGGGTTCTTCTATTTTCAGGAGTCCTTGAAATTCACGAAATTTATCACTTAATTATGCTGCCATTTTAAGGAGTTAACTGAGTCGATCCTCTATTTAGCTAAGTTGGTCAAATTATTAATTCGCCTGGAAGCCTCTAAAGAGAAAGTTCCCAATCTTTATAAGGTAATGCAATGTGTGTTTCTTTCTTATAAACTCATCTATGTGGGATTACTAAAGGAGCCACAAAACCATAAATTTCTACCTTTTATGAATTTGTGTGACCTATAATCATATTGTAAAGTGAATATTGCTTCATCCATATACATGCAAAATTAGAGGTCACATATACGAAGGTGCTCAAGCTAAAAATTGGTCAAGATGAATGATGCAATCACTAAACTAAGATGATTTCCCTCTACACTCAACGTCATACCCTCATGAAAAATGAAAAGACATGAAAACATGTTTTATACGGTTTACCATGTCTTAAAATTTTTAAATGAAGACCTGTCGGAAATCGCCGGTTGGGTTTTTCCAACAAAGAAAGAAATGGGAGGATTGAAAGAATCCAAAACATTCTTTCGACCTCTATTGCTAAGCCGGCTCATATTGTTTCTGCAACGCTTTTCTGCCCCCTCTTCACCTTGGACATGGATGAGACTTTAGAATGTATGCTAACCGACTCCCAAGTTATTTTTCAAAGCTGAACAGACACTACCTCGTACCGCAGGTTTTTTTTTTTTTTTTTTTTTTTTTTTTTTTTTTTTTTTTAAAGGTTCGGTGAAGTATGCCTTGACTTTGTAGTTTTGCAAAGAAACTGACGAGTCATATATATCGGGCCAAGACTGTACAATTCAAGTGTGGATTAAGGCTTCTTGTTGTTGTAGTAGACGTTTTTCTATCCTTCAAGTTCAAGGCCTTTCTATTGCTTGGTAGAGATGTGTAGAGAGAGATACGAGTAAGAAAAAACGACATGCAAGCAGTGGGCCTCAACCTCGTTTTTATGCAGATGAATAACAAAAATATCAAGTTCGATCTTCACCCACAATCCAAGATTGATTTTTATTTTGTTTTAGTTTATTTGCCATGACAATCCAAGATCGAATTTGCGTGCGAAAGTGCAAAGCCACTAAATGAGAGAAAACTATGCTTCAAGTTCTTCAGAGCAAAGAATCAGTCGTGTATACATTCTTCCTATTACAACTGAATTTCTTAACAAGTATCATTACCCATTAATCTCAACAAGTCAGAGAGATTTCTCCAAAAAGACAACACATTCTAAGAAACATTAATTAGGCTATAAGCTACATCATCTCCCTTGGAGGGGCTAATAGGCCAACTTATCCTCCAGTTGCAATCTAAAAATGTTTCTGCCATTCTTTTTTCTGCAATCAACAATGTGCTCGTATCTGCATAGTCCTCATCAACCGTGGCGTGCACAAGCTGCAATGATAGGCGGTAGCTGGATTGCTCATTCCCATTGGTACGTAATCTATCAATCAAAAAAGCTAATTCCAGTATATTAACAAAGTCACCCTGAGAACTTGGCAATAACTAAGCTCACGGCCGTAAAAACAACATAGAGACCAACAAGACAGAATCCCCAGAACCTAGGCACCCGGAATCTGTTCCATGTAATCACCAACAAAGACCCCATCAGGCTCAGAAGCAAGAATACGAATGCAATCACAATCCCGACATGGAAATGCAGTTCATAAGCTTTAGGGTAAAGGTTGGTTGTCTGTATCACCAAAGCTGAGCCGAGCCCAACGAGCATGTTAAACATTGGCCCAGCAAAGCACCCAGCCATGGCCATCTCTGGGTGGCCAGCCTTAGCAACTGCAACATCAGCTACGAGATCACCCACTGAATTCCCCCATGCGAGAACAGTAAGCCCAAGAAGTGAAGGTGGCAACTTGAGAAGGGACCCTAGAGTTGCAAGGCAGTTGAGCAGTTCTCCAGCAACAGTTGATATCCAGAAAACACTCATCACAAACGCTACGAGCACAACAGGCATTTGTTCTGTTTTGGGCGGTTCTTTTTCCGTTATGTAGTGGAGAAGAGCAAGGGAGGAGCTTGCAAAGAGTACAACAAGCCAAAGCGGGAAATGGGTGTGTGGAAGGAGGAAATAAATCGGATGATCAAACGGAATGAATGAGTTGCCAGCATAGAGAAGTGCCACAGGGCAAAGAGCAATATTGGCTGATGTATAGAATCTGCTCCACTCGGAAGGCGCAGTACGGGGAATTGTGAGCTTCAAAAGAACAGAGAAAGGTAGCTCCCAAGCTTTTGATATCTACATACAAAACAAAGAGTGCAAATTACTAAAACTTTATAGCAAAGGAGAGTAACTAAGATTTATTATAGCATAAAGAAAAAAACACTTCCACTCTTTCTCCAATATCTCATCATCCCAAGAAGGATAAGAGATATGAGGAGCAGGTGGGTGGGGATAGTTAGTTGGGAAGATGATATGTGACCGTCTAACCAGGAAGCTATCTTTATTACTATACTATGTGTGTTCGAACGAACAATATATTTTTGCCTACTACTCCAGCTTCTTCCATTTCTCATATTCAGCTTAATCCCTTTTTTTTTTCCCTTTTTGCTTAACATATTCAGCGCAATCCTTTCACTTCTCATATCAATAAAGTTACCATCTACCCAACTCCTACACAGTACACACAAGACAATCATTTGGCTTTCGAGCCGTGCTTGTTCACCTAAAACACACACATTTCTATTAGCATTGACAATAAAATTCAAAATTCAAAATTTAATTTCTTCCTCTCCAACTATTCTCTGTACCAAAGTTCAAACTTCCAGGAATTCCAAGCTTCAAACTCCTTGAACATCAAGCTTTTCCAGATCAAAGCAAGAAGAATTCACCACAACTCGACCCAACCATGGGGCATAATCCGTAACACCAAAGTGCATCACAAGTGACAACTACACTTGCTATATGATAACAATAGTATTGTCTCCTTGAAAGGAAATTATTGCTAATTACATGCAAGAAGGAAAAGGCCTTAGTAACCATTTGCTCCAATTTGGATAACTTTTCATAAAATATCACCCCAACGTGAATAATGCAAAGTGCTTTAGTACATAGCAAGCCAATTCCACGCAACACTGAAAGCAAACTAGGGACCAATAAATAATCAGCAAGCAGGGAAGTCATTCTTTATAATAATAATCATCAATACTCCTACATTTCATTACTCATATATAAAGTAGAACTTGTCCCTCTTAAGTATCTATATGATACACAGAGAAACAGAATTCAGAAAGATCTAATTGCACAAAAACAACAGTTACACAATCCTTAAACTATCATGCATATTCCAAATTATCAACAACAAGAACATGAATATTAATTTGTTCTAACCATCAAATTATCCCAAATTATGTTCTATATTCTAACTTAGAACATAAACATCCCGAATTATCAACAAAACAAATATAATTTGGATATGTTCTAACAATCAAATTATACCAAATTATGTTCTACCTTCTAACTTAGAACATAATTAACACCCCGAATTATCAACAAAAAGATTAAAAAACACAATTTTGATATGAAACATACCATTCCCAGAACTCGCCGGAATCCAAAACTCGGTTTTTCCGCCTCGGAATCCCCGAAACCCTCTCCGATCTCACAATCCGGCGTCGCCACGGGCGTCAGATTCCTCGGAAAATCGACCTCCCCGCTCTTCTCTCTCTCCTCGGCGCCGACCGTCCCCAAATCCATCCAAAACACGAACCCTACAAAGAACAAGTAGAAGGCGACGAAGCCGACGGCCTGCCAGAGGAAAATCTCGGCGCTGAGGTAGACGTAGAAGAGGAAGAGCGCGGCGATCAGGAAGAACGAGACGTCTCTGACGAAGGTGGCCGGATTGAGGGCGAACGGCGCGGCGTGGATCGCTACGAATCCGACGACGAAGGCAGAGACGAACGTACCGGCGGAGAGGATGGCGCCGATCCCCGTCCTGTAGTTGCCGCGGCGGACGGCGGTGAGGGAGGCGAAGACGTCGGGGGCGCCGTTGCCGAGGGCAAGGAGCGTGACGGCGGCCATGCTGGGGGAGAGATTAAGGAGGGAGGAGAGCTTGGTGGTGACGAGGCAGAAGTGGTCCTGGGCGGTCTTGATGAGGAGGTAGAAGTAGAGGAGGAGGAGGAGAGAGAGTAGAGGGATTGAGAGGAACAATGGTGTGGAGCTGAGGCCGCCATAGCCACCGCCGCCGCCATTGTTGGAGGTTGGTGGTGGTTCTTCGAGGAGGAATCTGTGAGTGTGAGGGGCTAGGGGAAGAGGAAGGAGAGGGTTTTGAGGAGAGAGAAGGAAGAAGAAGAGGAGAGTGGAGAGGAGAGAGAGGGAAGTGGAGAGGAGAGAGAGGGCCATGCCATTACAGAACCAACCTCCTCTTCTTTCCTACGTGTTCTCTCTCTCGCTCTGTCTCTCGCTCTACAACACTCTAATAATGTCAGTGGTTTTTTTTTTTTTTTTTTTTTTTACAATCTCCCTTTTAATATATTTCTTCAAATGTGTGTTTGGACTCGTAAATTCATAAATTCATAGGTGAATGGATTAGAATATGAGATTAAAATTATTTTTAATTTATGTGTATCTTTTTAAAAAAAATATATTATAATAAATTATAAATTATGATTTAAATGGAATATATTTCTTCAAATGTGTGTTTGGACTCGTAAATTCATAAATTCATAGGTGAATGGATTAGAATATGAGATTAAAATTATTTTTAATTTATGTGTATCTTTTTAAAAAAAATATATTATAATAAATTATAAATTATGATTTAAATGGATCGTTGTCTGGCTTCTCTCTCTACTTCGTTTTGTTTTTGTTTGGGATCCATTACCTACTGTTCTGTCAAGTGCCATTTGCCAATTATTATTGAACGCGTAGCAGATTTCACTATTTCATGCTTTTCTAAAACCATAATTAGGAAAGCAAAAAGAAGCTTCATAGAATTCCACGGTAGCATCGCACTTTCTTTCTATCATTTTTTATATTTATTTTTTAACATTTAAATTTAAATTTTTAATTTAAATTTAGATGTGAGAATTTTTTAAAATTTTTAATTATAATAAAAAAAATTAAATATGATATTTTTTAAAAAAATTTTAATTGTAAAAATTTAAAATTAAAAACTAAATTCGTTTTGAAGAGAAACAAAACTTAAAGGATGCAGTGGTGGAATTGAAAATACATCGTGTCATCAACTTAATTCATGTTTGGTCATCAACTTAATTATAGTATACATTTTGTTTGGTATTACTTCGTCCTACTATAATTCATGTGCAAAGGGTTTTCATACTTAAAAGTTACTAGAAATATAATCTAATAACCTAAAATTCATCTTTTAATGACGTTTGATTCATAGATTTAAAATCATGATTCAGAATCATTCTTGATTTACGTGTATTTTTTATAAGAAAAAATATTATAGCGAATCACGAATCATAATTCAAATCATAACATGAATATACTAACTAAACGCACCCTAAGCTTTCAATTCCTTTCTCCATACTCTAAACCATTCGGCCAAGGTAAGAAAAAGAAAATGAAAACTGAAATCTCACCTTAGAATAGAAGAATGAAAAACAAACTCCGGAATCACTAATCCTCAGTAGTTCGATCGATTCTCGCTTAAAACTTACTTTTCTTCACTTTTAGTAATTTTTTTATTCTTCTCTCTCTTGGATGAACTCTCACGGGTTCTTGACATGAAATATGACCATTTCATTGTGTTTTTTCACTAATAAACTGACCTTCCCAAAAGCAAGGGTTCAAGTTG